AACGAAGTTTCAAAAGTAAAATCAAAATGAAATTCAACTGACCGTGCGATCATAATTGTGTTGAGCATTCTTTTCGTTGGCCGTCCTCTTGTGCTTCTTTGATGCTCCTGTCTCGATTGAATGATGCGAATCACCCAGATCCACACGACCTCTTTTACGTCCTCTTTTCTTCGATCGCACTTTCGAAACTGTTTCATCCTAACGAATTCAACAGGAAATTTACAACACAATGTCATATCTAAATATATCATCATAGTCTGGAAGTTTATCAAGAAAATATTTGGATGTATACATAAACCATGAAGCTTTCGAGGTAGGCATATCATAAAACTTAAATTACCTGACATAAATTTTCTCGCTTTTGTTGTGGCTTATTCTGTTTTGTCAGCTGCGATTTCATCTCTTCAGAATCGCTCATTTCATTTTTATTGCTTCCGGATGTCACCAAATTCTTTCCAACTTGAACCGTCCTGCGTCTGAGATTACGACGACCCAAACGCGGGCCTCGAACACGATGCTGGTGTTCAGCTCGACCTCGAACTTCATCCTCATCAATTAACGAACGACCACCGCCTTTCAACGGCATCACCTCGTCTTTATCAATACCATCACCGGTTTTGCTATCTTCATCACTGTCTGTTTGCCCTGAAATCACATTTACAAATAATAAAATTTCAAAAACAGAAAAAAAAACTTCGCAACACAATATAATTTGATCGAATTCAATAATCCGAAAATTCAATACGGTTGAATCTGCTCACAATCGAACAACATTCCCTTATGAACGCACGCGTTTCTATCTCCCTACCACGAAGCCAGAGTTTCGAATGATGACGATGAGAATTCATTTCAGTCACATTCGTTGGCTAGTTGTTTAATAAAAAATGAACTTAATGTTAACATTAAACGATGAATTTTTAATGAGCACATCATTATTATTAACCTTTCACTTGAGTTTCATTCGACTGGCGTTGTCCGCGAGATGACCTGAAGAATGAATAAATATGCAATGTAATCAACTAATATTCAAATGAACCAGGATCGAATAAGAAGATAACAAACCATTCGTAGTATCTTTTTATACTTTCATTTGAATCATCCCATTCGTCCCTAATATTATCAGGTGTACTGCTGCAGCTAACTGTGGAGGGTATATTTCGCGTTAACGAAAAACACGGTGTTAACCGCTGACATTCCAACGAGATCTCATCGAAATTTGCTGGTAACTGATCTTCGACGCCGTGTCTTCGAGAGATCTCACGAATCTGTGCATGTGTTTTACCGATACCAAGTACTGGAAATGCCATTGGATTGCCTAGCTGCGATACGTGAAAATGATCCGAGCATATACGCCAGTGATATGCTGGCAAACATGCGCTATCGTTAATCTGCAAGTTTTTTATTGACTGAACATAAGACGAATTTCCCATAAGCAAATTCAATAGAATCTAAAAAAAACTTATTTTACTAATGAAATAAACTCTACATAAAATGACCCGTAATCCAACAACAAGAAATCAACAAAAACCTTTTTGTAAGCAGTTTTTGAAAGGAGCAACTCAGCGAAAAGCATTGTAAGTTGATGATTTGACCGATTCACATAGTGCAAGCGGTACGGTTGTGTGATACGGCATTTTTTACAGATTGCTTGCCTTTTGCCATGCTCACACAATTCCTCTCGCCAGTTCAGCATATCCGTTGCCCTATGAAAGGAACATGTTTCAGCTCATATCAGTTACGTTCGATAACAAATGATCGGAATGATAGACATGCCCCTTTAAGTGTCCAGAAAAATATCGCTCACTGACTGATAAAAGACTGTTATAGTTGATAATGAAGGGACTTCATCACTAGATTGACTGATCGCATGTTTTAGAAAATGAAATATTTCCGAGAGAGTGAGTTGTCCGAAAATTATTTTTGTCAATAGCAAAAAATCAAACCAACCTATTCGTGCACCCTTTCGCAATGCATCTCGTTCCATTACGCCACTGTAACAGTAACTTACATGAAATGATATATTCATCAACGCACAGCATTTCTTCAACGAACATTTCCATATAGGAATCTATGCGTGCACAAAGTATGTTTTTGCCAGCTTGAGTACCGATTTATTATTAACCATCACCATGTTATATTTCACAACATCACCATGTTATATTCATAAAACTTTTCACTTTAAATTTTCATTATTTTTCTTACAATCTGCGCTACCAACAACAAAAGAATTATTCGTTAGTGAGTGGAAAATGTAATTTGGTGTAAAACTGGAAAAATATATAGTCTAAAATGAAAAACGAAGTGCATAAATTTCAAACTGCGACAATTTCTCACTCACTTTAGCTGTTGAATACGATGTTGATACCTTATTGGATGCATCCTGAACATCCTCACTGATATTATCATCACCATCCTCCGAATTGTCATGTTTTGGTGGACGTGAAGATACGCTCGTTCCTACTACAACTACCTCCATTGTTTCTGGTTCACGTCTCGCAACTAAAATCCATTATATTTAAGACTCTAAGTTTCCAATACCTGAACACTGCCAGTTCACGAATTCCTCTGTAGAACAGAAACATTCGAAAGCTACGTCAAAATCGAGAAGAGTTTTATACATCATGATCAACATTTCTATCTATCTTTATGCCCTCAGGAATGACAGAAACAATGAAATGAGTGAGTCAGTCACTGATGTTTGAGTACATTCTTCTTTTGGATACAAATACTCTTTGAACGGTTTAATCAATCGCTCTCTTTAATACGACTCCCATTTTCATTTATAATCCTCAAAAAGCAAACAGAGGTCGAAACAAGTAATGATTGTGAAACAGAGTCAATATCTACTCACATAACTGCAAAACAGCTGCATCAGCTGATTCAGTGTCTATTTCCAAATCCATAATGACCCCTTGTCATCCCTCGAACCAGCGACAATTCGTCTGAGACTCTCACCAACCAAGTTTCACCCCTTACAAATCCGATGAAAGCACAAAACAAAATCCTGAAATTTCAACCCTTTATTAACTTCCAACTATATCAAAATAACGACTATTAATTATTTATAGTCAACAAAACTACTACCGATTAATCACTATTTGCAGAACGCAAAAGGAAGGACGACGTTAATTCTATTCGTTGATCGAATCAATACATATAATCGATTCACAATCGATCCGTTGCATAAATCAACTCCTTCTCCTCCTTCATTGATTCCATAACAAAAATAAACGTATTTCTCTAATTGACTCTTGAACCTAACATCAGTTATATCATACAAATGTATTACATCTCAAAAACGAATAAATAATGCATAGATATTCGCAAAAAGATGCACGATACTTTATATTAGTCTTCAGGAAGAAGACCAACAGAATCAACCGACTAAAAAAGATTTTTTACTCATTGCTCTCAAATGATTATGCCAATAAACATCAATAATTGTAATAGTAACAGTAATAAAACATGCACAACAATTCCCCTGAAATCATATCAGATAAGAATCAAAAGCAATGAAAATACACGACAAAGCAACAGCAAACAATAAAATCAATATTTTTGAGATTTTTTAAGATAGCGACGAACCAAACGAATGCAAGAAGCAATGGGATCAGCATGAGAAAGTTACCGGCGATTAAACACATTATATCACATTCTATAACAGAATACATACATGGTAACTGAACATATGAATATCACTTAACGCTTTGTCTTACCTTCCAAAATCTTGATATACTAAAGGTGTATTTTTTCATGACAATAATAATGAGAATAACAATAATGATAATATTAACAACAGCAAAAATAATACTAATAATTAGAAGAAAAAACCAACTAGAACAATAACAACACTCAGTGGTTACAAGCTAAATCATAGCCAAGATTCGACAACATCAGCGAGACTGGTGTACTATTTAATACCAATTAAGTAAGCATTGAAACAGAGAACAATCAAAACAGTACAAGTGCTTCATAACATATTAACAAATAAAAAAACAATTTGAAAGTATTTCTGAGATGAGATCGCAATCTAAAGTTCAGAATGTGACGACGGGCGATTGGCCGGTATTGTGCCTCGTTCGTGTAGTAATTGCATATAGTCCTCGTATGGGTCGATTTCTTCGAATTTATGGAATGATATTGGAGATATTCTTTGAATGTAAACAGGCGAATAGTCGATGGAACGTGCTTGATGAAAGGCTGCTGAATGTATGATTGGGATTTGCAAACGTCTCGCACACATCCCTGCAAAGAGCACCTCTTATTCACCTTTCAGATGTTGCTCGACAAGAATTGTATATGTCAAACATGAAGCCATCGAAAAGCAAAGCGCATTCGACTGAATGATCACAAAATCTCAATCATCAGTACGGAGATTATGCACACCCATACTGTATCAGTTCGTGATCATCTTCCACCGATCCATCTGCTGCATATCGGATTATCAGAGATCTAATTCTCCTAGTATCAATACACCGACTCACGAAGACCTGTTTCCGAGTTTCTAAGCACATCAAATGATAACAAACAAAAATCATTCACCAACCAATTATCATATCGTCCGGAGAGTCTAAACTCGGGCAACGGCATCCACCAATCAAACGTTGTACTGCTGGCCGTGAAAATACCATCCTGAACAGCAATAATTTTACTATTATTTGCCAATTAAAAACCAGATTTGTGTATACATCAATAAAGTGCATTAAAGCAAGCATCCATAAAAATAGCACATTAAAGCGAAATGCAATGCACTCACCCAGCACCTCCAGTCGGATATTCATAGCCATATTTACCGTTTGTGCTGAACCCGTAACCATATCGCTCACCAATAATCATTTCTTTCAGCGGAGAATAGCATGACAAAAGGCGATACAGCCTCGGAACCCTGTAACCTCATGGAACCTGCACAGTCCCCTCTACAAATTTTATCTTAAGAAAACTGGTATTGATGATTATAAGCCTCTAAGTAACAACAAAGATAATTAGATACAAGCCAGATCATAGCCTAGCTCATGCTCGGTAACGTCGGTGGCACTATAAAATCATTCGTTTCGAGCAGAACTTTCTCATCAGATCAGATTTGTCTTATATGCGCTAAAGAACTAATTGCAATCTCAACTCAACAGAATCATTCCGTTTTCGCGATAGCTCTGAGATGAAGCATTCAACTTGCGAGTGTAATTCTAACAAGGTTTGAGTCAGTTAAAATTGTAAAATTTGAAATTACACCTAACAAAACCGCTTAATTTCAGTTCATTCCCTCACACATTTATCCACCGTGATCTGTTTGATCCAGTCATTTGTTCTATGCCAAGGAATGACCAAAGAAAATGAATCACTTCTCCTCCCTGTCTCCCCCAACCAATATTAAGAAACCCGAACTCACCCGATCAGTGTATCGTCATCAACAACAGCTAACCATTGAACACCACTCATCTCATCGTTTCCCAAAAAATATTTCAATATCGATAACGTCTTCTCACAATGTCCTCAAATGCACGCACGACCATCAGTAATAATCAATCAGTTTCAATGGAGTTCATCGATGAATTGCTCGCATTAATTTATCAGAACTGCGATCAACCTTTTAGCGAACATAACTGACAATTTACAATTTCGATTAAAATCTATAATATAAGCTGTCATAAAAGTACTAGTTGCCTTGTACCAACAAATAAATCAAACAATCGAAAAATGAAAAATCATGAATAAATGCAGAAAAAAACTAAAGTAAAAAGTAATAAAAAAGGCAAGCAAATAAATCCTCATTCCAAATCAATCCTCTTAACTAAATTCTTCCTTGCCCAACAACTGAGTGCATAGCAGTCGGCACCGCTGACAGTTGAATCAGATTAATTCAAACAATCAACCAATATTGTAAGATTTCAACATTGATTCAATTCCATAAAAAAAGCCAAAGCAATCCTTTTCCAATCAAGATTATAAAATCGTACAATCAATCCTCACCCCGTTCAGTGTTATTCACTCCCAAATCAATTGTTGGCACATACTGATCAGTCATATCGCTGAAATATTCCACGAATTTTGCCATCTTTGCCCACGTTCGTTTCACGATAACGATTCGTTTCTTATGATTAGCATGATATGTTTTTACGGCAAACAAGACATCTTCGTTAGTTACTGCTTTCACCGTGTTTGACGTATCATTTAGCACACAATTCTGCAACTCCTTTAGTGAAACACTGCCACACAGCAAGACTACTTTTAGAACTGAAACCTTTGAAACAAAAAAATATTTACTGCTAACATGAAAAGTATTCGTATACCATTCGATTACAAACAAAATTTTTTCATCCCCCTCCACCAACAGAAATTTAAGCCTTAACAATAATGAATCAATACTCAACTTCTCTCTCATAACTGCTAAATTCTTCTCACTACTTGGAGAAACTTGTTTGGGAAGACGATACTCAAAGGAAATGTCAAGTTTCTTCATCAATCAAAAGTTTCATGACAATCAGATAAATGTTACCTAAACTACAATCAGACTCAGGCGAAATACTGAATTTACTAACGTCAATATCTTACTCACATCTGTCTTTTTTATCATTCGTACACAAACTGAACATGTCTGTGCGATTTTATTTGATCATTTGCAGCATTCGGAAAACGTCTACTACAATACGAACAAGCTACAGCTTACCTCATAAGTCGGTTCGATGTACCTGGTTATGCAGTCATTCGC